CTACCTATCTGTCTATCTACCTATCTGTCTATCTACCTATCTGTCTATCTACCTATCTGTCTATCTACCTATCTGTCTATCTACCTATCTGTCTATCTACCTATCTGTCTATCTACCTATCTGTCTATCTACCTATCTGTCTATCTACCTATCTGTCTATCTACCTATCTGTCTATCTACCTATCTGTCTATCTACCTATCTGTCTATCTACCTATCTGTCTATCTACCTATCTGTCTATCTACCTATCTGTCTATCTACCTATCTGTCTATCTACCTATCTGTCTATCTACCTATCTGTCTATCTACCTATCTGTCTATCTACCTATCTGTCTATCTACCTATCTGTCTATCTACCTATCTGTCTATCTACCTATCTGTCTATCTACCTATCTGTCTATCTACCTATCTGTCTATCTACCTATCTGTCTATCTACCTATCTGTCTATCTACCTATCTGTCTATCTACCTATCTGTCTATCTACCTATCTGTCTATCTACCTATCTGTCTATCTACCTATCTGTCTATCTACCTATCTGTCTATCTACCTATCTGTCTATCTACCTATCTGTCTATCTACCTATCTGTCTATCTACCTATCTGTCTATCTACCTATCTGTCTATCTACCTATCTGTCTATCTACCTATCTGTCTATCTACCTATCTGTCTATCTACCTATCTGTCTATCTACCTATCTGTCTATCTACCTATCTGTCTATCTACCTATCTGTCTATCTACCTATCTGTCTATCTACCTATCTGTCTATCTACCTATCTGTCTATCTACCTATCTGTCTATCTACCTATCTGTCTATCTACCTATCTGTCTATCTACCTATCTGTCTATCTACCTATCTGTCTATCTACCTATCTGTCTATCTACCTATCTGTCTATCTACCTATCTGTCTATCTACCTATCTGTCTATCTACCTATCTGTCTATCTACCTATCTGTCTATCTACCTATCTGTCTATCTACCTATCTGTCTATCTACCTATCTGTCTATCTACCTATCTGTCTATCTACCTATCTGTCTATCTACCTATCTGTCTATCTACCTATCTGTCTATCTACCTATCTGTCTATCTACCTATCTGTCTATCTACCTATCTGTCTATCTACCTATCTGTCTATCTACCTATCTGTCTATCTACCTATCTGTCTATCTACCTATCTGTCTATCTACCTATCTGTCTATCTACCTATCTGTCTATCTACCTATCTGTCTATCTACCTATCTGTCTATCTACCTATCTGTCTATCTACCTATCTGTCTATCTACCTATCTGTCTATCTACCTATCTGTCTATCTACCTATCTGTCTATCTACCTATCTGTCTATCTACCTATCTGTCTATCTACCTATCTGTCTATCTACCTATCTGTCTATCTACCTATCTGTCTATCTACCTATCTGTCTATCTACCTATCTGTCTATCTACCTATCTGTCTATCTACCTATCTGTCTATCTACCTATCTGTCTATCTACCTATCTGTCTATCTACCTATCTGTCTATCTACCTATCTGTCTATCTACCTATCTGTCTATCTACCTATCTGTCTATCTACCTATCTGTCTATCTACCTATCTGTCTATCTACCTATCTGTCTATCTACCTATCTGTCTATCTACCTATCTGTCTATCTACCTATCTGTCTATCTACCTATCTGTCTATCTACCTATCTGTCTATCTACCTATCTGTCTATCTACCTATCTGTCTATCTACCTATCTGTCTATCTACCTATCTGTCTATCTACCTATCTGTCTATCTACCTATCTGTCTATCTACCTATCTGTCTATCTACCTATCTGTCTATCTACCTATCTGTCTATCTACCTATCTGTCTATCTACCTATCTGTCTATCTACCTATCTGTCTATCTACCTATCTGTCTATCTACCTATCTGTCTATCTACCTATCTGTCTATCTACCTATCTGTCTATCTACCTATCTGTCTATCTACCTATCTGTCTATCTACCTATCTGTCTATCTACCTATCTGTCTATCTACCTATCTGTCTATCTACCTATCTGTCTATCTACCTATCTGTCTATCTACCTATCTGTCTATCTACCTATCTGTCTATCTACCTATCTGTCTATCTACCTATCTGTCTATCTACCTATCTGTCTATCTACCTATCTGTCTATCTACCTATCTGTCTATCTACCTATCTGTCTATCTACCTATCTGTCTATCTACCTATCTGTCTATCTACCTATCTGTCTATCTACCTATCTGTCTATCTACCTATCTGTCTATCTACCTATCTGTCTATCTACCTATCTGTCTATCTACCTATCTGTCTATCTACCTATCTGTCTATCTACCTATCTGTCTATCTACCTATCTGTCTATCTACCTATCTGTCTATCTACCTATCTGTCTATCTACCTATCTGTCTATCTACCTATCTGTCTATCTACCTATCTGTCTATCTACCTATCTGTCTATCTACCTATCTGTCTATCTACCTATCTGTCTATCTACCTATCTGTCTATCTACCTATCTGTCTATCTACCTATCTGTCTATCTACCTATCTGTCTATCTACCTATCTGTCTATCTACCTATCTGTCTATCTACCTATCTGTCTATCTACCTATCTGTCTATCTACCTATCTGTCTATCTACCTATCTGTCTATCTACCTATCTGTCTATCTACCTATCTGTCTATCTACCTATCTGTCTATCTACCTATCTGTCTATCTACCTATCTGTCTATCTACCTATCTGTCTATCTACCTATCTGTCTATCTACCTATCTGTCTATCTACCTATCTGTCTATCTACCTATCTGTCTATCTACCTATCTGTCTATCTACCTATCTGTCTATCTACCTATCTGTCTATCTACCTATCTGTCTATCTACCTATCTGTCTATCTACCTATCTGTCTATCTACCTATCTGTCTATCTACCTATCTGTCTATCTACCTATCTGTCTATCTACCTATCTGTCTATCTACCTATCTGTCTATCTACCTATCTGTCTATCTACCTATCTGTCTATCTACCTATCTGTCTATCTACCTATCTGTCTATCTACCTATCTGTCTATCTACCTATCTGTCTATCTACCTATCTGTCTATCTACCTATCTGTCTATCTACCTATCTGTCTATCTACCTATCTGTCTATCTACCTATCTGTCTATCTACCTATCTGTCTATCTACCTATCTGTCTATCTACCTATCTGTCTATCTACCTATCTGTCTATCTACCTATCTGTCTATCTACCTATCTGTCTATCTACCTATCTGTCTATCTACCTATCTGTCTATCTACCTATCTGTCTATCTACCTATCTGTCTATCTACCTATCTGTCTATCTACCTATCTGTCTATCTACCTATCTGTCTATCTACCTATCTGTCTATCTACCTATCTGTCTATCTACCTATCTGTCTATCTACCTATCTGTCTATCTACCTATCTGTCTATCTACCTATCTGTCTATCTACCTATCTGTCTATCTACCTATCTGTCTATCTACCTATCTGTCTATCTACCTATCTGTCTATCTACCTATCTGTCTATCTACCTATCTGTCTATCTACCTATCTGTCTATCTACCTATCTGTCTATCTACCTATCTGTCTATCTACCTATCTGTCTATCTACCTATCTGTCTATCTACCTATCTGTCTATCTACCTATCTGTCCATCTGCCTATCTGTCTGTCTACCTATCTGTCTATCTACCTATCTGTCTATCTACCTATCTGTCTATCTACCTATCTATCTATCTATCTATCTGTTTATCCATCTGTCTATTTATCTTATCTTTATGCACTGGAGCTAATTAATTCCCCAAGGAAATGCATTAATAAAGTCTAGGTTGATGAATTCCATCAAGAAAAAAACAAACAAACGTACTAACTATTGCATGTATGTTCCACCGCTTTATGGCGTGGCAAATCTATTGTGATATTAAAGAAACAATTGCCATAAGAAGTTAGTGAAGCTAACCTGTGGCAAACAGGCAATTTATAAATGACTAGAGGGTTATTTGTCATCACTGTCAGTATATGTATTATTGTGTTATTTGCAGACTAAAATTAATCATGGTTATTAGCAAGGAAGTAGGTGTATGCTTAGGTAGTTTAGAAGCAGTTCCATTGGGTATGTTGTAAATATATACATATATGTGCTTATTCATGCTTATACATATGTATCTGTCCATATCCTTTCTCTCTCTCACTATCTGTCTCTCTGTCTCTCTCTCTCACTATCTGTCTCTCTCTCTCTCTCTCTCTCTCTCTCTCTCTCTCTCTCTCTCTCTCTCTCTCTCTCTCTCTCTCTCTCTCTCTCTCTCTCTCTCTCTATCTCTCTCTCTCTCTCTCTCTCTCTCTCTCTCTCTCTCTCTCTCTCTCTCTCTCTCTCTCTCTCTCTCTCTCTCTCTCTCTCTCTCTCTCTCTCTCTCTCAGGTTCACAAATACACACACACACACACACACACACACACACACACACACACACACACACACACACACTCACTCACTCACTCACTCACTCACTCACTCACTCACTCACTCACTTACTCACACTCACACTTACACTTACACTTACACTTACACTTACACTTACACTTACACTTAAACTTACACTTACACTTACTCACACACACTCACTCACACTCATACTCACACTCACAGTTACACACACACTCACTCACTCACACTTACTCACACACACTCACTCACACTCACACTCACACTTACTCACACACACTCACTCACACTCACACTCACACTCACAGTTACACACAATCACATACAAAATCACACACATATGCACAAACATGCATATTATATTCTTCATATACTTACATGTAAATATGATATGTTTAATATTTTCACATATAAAGTCTTAATGTGTTTCTCCCCCTCTCCCCCTCTCCCTTTTTCAGTTTTCATTTGAATATCTGTTTTTACCTGGCATTTGAAAGAGAAAATTATTTATGAAGCGCTTGCTTACTCGACAGAACGGGGCACCAGTCGTGAGCGAATGGAGGAGTTCGAGGAAGCGGTGATTGCCCTCGAGTGCTACATGGCCTCGGTGCAGAAGGAGATTGAGGAGAGGACTCAGGTTGTGACGCTCCTGGAGCAGGCCGAGATCTTCTACGAGACGCAGCGGGGCGAAGCCAAGCTGGTAGCTAATGTAAGTGTAATTTTCCCTTAATTTTCTTCTCTGTCTACCTGTCTCGGATATTTTAATCTCAGTGGTAAAGCAAATCCGACGGCTGTTGGTCCCTAGTATTTTGTGGTGGCGTTTTAAGGGGTTTAGATAACACACTAGTTGCGTGTTGTTTCAACTTCAGTGCAACCAGCTCTGTTCTTTCACTCTGTGTACTACCCATATGATGTAAGTTAGAAAATTATGCCCTTTATGTATTAATTAGTAATCATTGTGCTTTACAGTGAGTTGTAGAAATTGGGTCATGGGAAGCACAAATGCAGCTTTCATGTTAATGCATTAGGATTGGCCTATGTGTCATCATTGTTATTAGAGTTGTTGTTTTTGTCATCCCTAGCATCCTCATTTTATTTTACGTTGTTTTTATGGTGTTTTTGATTTTATGCTGTATTTATAATCATTTTTATTTTCATTTTCATATTGTTATCATAATCATTACTATCATATTATTTATTGGATATGGAGAAAGTTATTTGAGTTTTAAGTATACATGAAGATTTCTTAATTCTCCCTTTTTCTTTCAGGCGTACAAGAATTTTGGCAACCGTGTCAAGACCCTAAAAACAAAGTTGCAGGAAAAGATGAAGACTTTACCGGAGCCGAGCCCTGTCCCGTCCCCAACTGTCGATGCCCCCTCGCCGGAGAATAGTGATGATGAAAATTTGTCTCTTCCTGATTCAGCGTCTTCGGGTTGGTAGAATGGATTTAGTAGCGTTGTGTTCAAAGGAGATGGCAAATATAGCTTTTTTTTTATAAATAACTTTTTAGTTTATTTTCCTCTATAACATTAAACCTTACAGTCATCTAAGAATCAAAGAAGTCTTTGAGTAACATTAGTAATAATGTAATCATAAATAATCATAAATATGTACTTGAAGTTCTAGAAGGTTGGCCATAGCTGTTTCATTTGCTTGGCTTTCTCATAGTACCTATTAGTTTTCCCTTGCTTCATTTCTGTTTCCAATGCCTTGTCTTTCCTCTTAATTTTGCATTGTTCTGAGTACATACCTTTTATAATCCTCTCTATTTTTTTTCTTTTGAACTTCTATACTAATGGCATTTAAAACTTTTAAGTTCAAAGACTTAGGTTAGAATTAGATTGTACTGTAAAGTACTGCACAAAAGTTTCCATTTGTGATTTTCATGTTCATTTAATTTCTTCTCTGAGTGGCTGCCCTGTGAATTCACATACATATATTTTTATATGACCTGGAGCTAAACAAATTTCTTCTTCTTCAGCCATGGATTCTTTTTTGAATTCCTCCAAATTTGCTGAGCTGGCCAAGGGTGCACTGAGTGGGGTCACCGGAGACCTTGAGGCACGTATCTCTGCTCTCAGGAAGGAGGAAAAGATGGAAAAGTCTCAGCTGAAGTCTTCGTCCTGCATGGAGGTGAAGGAAGTTCAGGTGATCAAAGATGGCAATCAGAGCAGCGACAGCATAGAGATCTGGGAGGTGGCCAACTCCAAAGAAACCCACGGAACTTGGGACGGCAAGGAGACCTCGAGGGACACGGACGAGCGGAGGGAAGCGCTGGACGTCCACGAGGTCCACGAGAGCTGGGACCGAGAGGGAGCACAGCCGAGGGACTATGCAAGGGAGCACAGGAGCTCACGGTCCTCGAGGGATTCTAGAGATTCACGCGACGGCGAGGTGCGGGATTCGTACCGGAGCAGCAGCTGGGACCATGGGGGGTCTGACCGGGAGTATTCGCACAAGCCGAGGGATCGAGAATATTCCCACACGCCTGCCAGCTCGTATGACTCTCCCATTCAGCCTCCAAAGGTGGGAGTTATTTATTTTTGTGTATATGGGGTTTAACTTTTGGCTTTAGCATTCGCAATGAATTGATAAGTTCAGTATTCAGGAAGTGAATAACTCTGTTATATTTGCATTTAAAGAGTTAATGAGTTTTTGTATTTTGTTGTCATATTATGCGTATGTTTAACTAATAAATGGGTAGTTTGCACCATGCCAAATCTTCCTGTACTGTCAATATTCTGCCACCTCTCCTTTCTTTCTTTCTTTCTTTTCCAATCTGCTCTGGAACTTGTGATGTTCATACATGCATTTTTTCAGGACCTCAAACCAATGAGTGCAGCTGAGCTCCTTGACACATATCTAAGCAAGTCAAGTGGTGGCGGGGGGAGTGGAAGTAGCAATGCCACCTCCCCTGTGACACCCGCATATGACACTGCCAAAGCCCCTTCCACTCCTACTTCGCAGTCGGCCATTCCTGATCTCACCCGTCCACCCCCAAGCCTTTCCATTCCGCTGCCCCCAAACAATCCCCCCCCATCCGATTCCCCCTCCCCGTATGTGCCTGGCCCCTTCAGCAACTCGAGGCCCTTCACACCAAAATCACATTATCCTCAGGGATACCCTATCCCCCCAGAGACACCACCCAAGCCATCCTTTACTCCCACACCTACAAGTGATCAGCCTCCACCCTATCCTCCCTATGAAACACCTCCGGTCTGGGTTCCTCCACCTCCTCCACCTCCTCCACCCCCAGAAATGGATGGTTTGGGTGGACCAGGAAGTGACTATGAAATGACCAGAAACTACAGTGGAGGATGGTCTGACTATGACCAATATGCCAACTCAGGGGACCTGAATGAAGACGATGCTGATGATCGCAATTGGGGAGAACCTCCTGGCAATGAAGAGCTAGAAGCTTTACATTCAGACACACCTTCCTCTCCACCACCCTATGAGAAAGGGTATAGTGGCGCTCTCCACCCCCCTCCCCTACCTCCCGCATTTTGTGGTCCTGCCAGGAGCAACTTGAGAGAATTAGTATCGGAAGGGGAGGATAGTGATCATAGAACAAACCTGGTTAGCATAAAGCCACGGGGAGCTGATATGGATTACCGTTGCTATGATTACAGCTCGCTGTCTGACCCCACAGGAGAGTCTAGTGTGGCACCCATTCCCTCAATACAGTCTTTGTTTGCCCCAGGAGACGACCAGGATTTTAGAGTGAAGAAGTCGGGATTGAAGCAAAACAATGCAGATTCAGGTTCTGACATGGACATCAGTGCCTCTGATTCAGAAAATGATATGGACATCAGTGATGAGTCTGGGAAGGAGGGTGCTAATAGTAGAAAAGAAGGTGAAGTAAAGGAACAAAAGTTAACAAAAGAATCTGTTAAGAACAGTTCCTCTAAGAAAACCAGTAGTGAAAATGATGTGATAAAGGACCGTTCGACTATAAATGACAAAGCCAAGCCAGTTGTGAATAGTGCTAAGTCTGAGGCAGTTGGTGTGAATACAATAACATCTGTACTGGATAGTACAGGTCCTGTAAAGAGTGAAGAGGAGAAAGTATCGAAAGATGAGTGCATCAAGAACAAAGATGTAAAGCCTCTACCAGTGACTAAAAGAGAATCAGAAGGTGGATCAAACGGTAGTGTTAGTGAGGATAAAGAGTGTGACTCGGATATGGGGGGCAGGGACTGGTATGGGGAGTTTTGCCAGGAGGAGGCTGACGATGAGCCACAAGGTGAAGAATATATTCCAACAGTCATAGCTAAGAGTGGTGGAAGGGACAGCAAAGAAAGACCCAAGAGTGGGGGAAGGGGAAATGGAGATCGGGATTACTCAGTCAATCGGAACTATGGAGAGAACAATGTGATAGATGTGATGAAAAGCTTAGACCAAGAATTCAACCAGCAGAGAGACAGAGGTAAAGGAAATTTCGAGGGTTCGAATCATAGTCGGGGTGGGCATTACGGGGGAAGCTACAGGGGTAGTGGGTTTAATTCATACCAAAGTAGAGGGGAGTTCTATGGTAGTCCACACAACCAGAGGGGAAGAGGGCGAGGAGGGCCTGCTTTTCATTCCCCCCGGGGCAGAGGCCGAGGAGGGTTCAACTCACAGCCAGGCGGGCACCATGGTGACTTCCACCGTGGCACGCCTCCGTACAGTCCCTCGGCACGGGGTTATCACAGCTCTGATAACTATGGAGGAGGGAGGGGAGGGAGGAGGGGGGGAAGAGGAGGGAGGCAGTGGTGGTGAAAATGTATTGATATTATCTCAGAATAATTGAATCTTAAATTTTTGGTTTGTTTTTCATTCAGCTACTGTATATTTATATGTTACTGTGGTCTCTTTTATTATATATATATGTCAAGGAGTCCACAAAGAGGAGTGTTATGCAGTAGATGGTACAAATTTTCTTAGCCTTGGGGAAGAAGAGTTTAAAAAGAGAAGTACTTTGCCCATAGAGATATAAGCCACCCACCTGTACTGTTGCTTCCAGGATATTGTCAGTAACAATTTTTAAATGGTATTCAGAAAAAAAAGACAGGAGTTTTATTTTTTGTGATAGAAGGCAATTTATAAGATCTTTGTTGATTACATGGTATTTTCACCTATACTAATAGTACATTGTCTTTGTACTTAGTGTGTAAGATAACTATTTTTCTTTTTTTCTTTTTTTTTCCCAAAGACCTGTCAATGTTGAAGATGATCACTTGTATAAACTTTTAACAGTTGTAATTGTGCTCATTGACAGAGCAGTTTAAAAAGCCTTTTGTCATGCCTATGTACATGAGTTCAAACGAGACGGAAATAAAAGGAACATGACACTAGAAAAAAAAGGAAGATGTCATATATTTTAAAAAAAGGAAGTTTTGCTTTTTTGTTTTCATGTACAAAAGCCCAACACACTCTCAATTGCTACAGATCTTATGCTTACTTGTAGTTTAGCTTCTTCACACTTCTGCTTTCACTACTCTTGTTTGAAATCTGTACATGTGCAAAAAAAAAAAGAAAAAGAAAAAAAAA